AAAGAAGAAAAAAAAAAAAGCAAGGTTTGGCCATTAGCACTATAAAAGGTTCATCTAGCAGTTCTCTCAGCCTTCCACCTTCAGGTGGATAACCACTCTCTTTTATATTAGAATGTTAATAAGATTTTTTTAAAGTCCTGGAAAGACTATATCTTCAGGTATCTATTCAGATCCTGTTTCCCCCATGGCAGCTAAACTTGGCATTGTCAAAGCTAATTTACAGGCAAGATAACCAGTATTATTTTGTTTTGCAGAGAACATCACAGTTTCCTCAAGTTGTGCCTGAAGTTGCTTTCTAATCATCTTGCTCTTGCATTAGCTGGAGGAGTAGCTACTAGCATTCTTGGAAGGCAGGCAGGTCCACTTCGGAATTTGCTGTTCAGGCTGATGGATTCCTCTGTTCCAGATGAAATACAGGAAGTAAGTAATTTTGTTCAGTTCACATCCAAGTCTTTTTAAAGTATGGTTATGGTCAGAAAAGGTGTTTTGTAAAAATGACACTTTAGTATTGCCAATATTTGATTTGCTGATTAAAATCCGGTTTTGAACTGTACATTGAGCCAATGTGATAGGCAGTTATATATGGTAAATTGAAGTTATATTGGGATTCAAGACATGAGTTTGCTTTTTGATAATGCTTATTAAGTATAGCTAAAATATACTGCTTTTACTTATAATATTGCTTTTTGTCCTATTTTGAATGTATTTCTGGTTTTAACAGCAGCTTTTTTTATCATGGAACAGAATAGGGAAATGGAAAAATTGTGACCAACACAAGTTATGAAGTATACATCTGGTTATGGTAACCCATAGTAATGCAGGGACTTATACAATGTGTTGATTTATACAAGTACTTCCATTGGAATGTTGATTCTATTCGTGTAACTATGGACTTGGAACATCAGGCCCCAGCTTCTAGACCTCCATATAATTTTTTCATAATTGTATACAATGAGCTGTGGTGCACAGGATCATAGAATCATAGAGCTGGAAGAGACCTCAGGAGGTCATCAAGTCCAGCCCCCTGCCCAAAGCAGGACCAATCACAACTAAATCAACCCAGCCAGGGCTTTGTCAAACTGAGACTTAAAAACCTCCAGGGATGGAGATTCCACCACCTCCCTAAGTAATCCATTCCAGTGCTTTACCACCCTCCTAGTGAAATAGTTTTTCCCAATATCCAACCTAGACCTCCCCCACTGCTCCTTGTTCTGCCATCCATCACTAATGAGAACAGCCTCTCTCCAACCTCTTTGGAACCTCCCTTCAGGAAATTGAAGGCTATCAAACCCTCCCTCACTCTTTTCTGCAGACTAAATCAGTCCAATCTCTCAGCCTCTCCTCATAGGTCATGAGCTCCATCCCCCTAATCATTTTCGTTTCCCTCTGCTGGACCCTCTCCAATGCATCCACATCTTTTCTGTAGTGGGGGGCCCAGAACTCCAGATGTGTCCTCACCAGAGCCGAATAAAGAGGAATAATCACTTCTTTAGATCTCCTGGTAATGCTTCTCCTAATGCGACCTAATATTCCATTTGTCATCTTGGCTACAAGGGCACACAGTTGACTCATATCCAGCTTCTTATCCACTGTAATCCTCAGGTTCTTTTCTGCCGAACTTCTACTTAGCCATTCAATACGCAGCCTGTAACAGTGCTTGGGATTCTTCCGTCCCAAGTGCAGGATTCTACACTTGTTAAATTTGGGTTATAACTTTGTTCACTTTTGGTCAAATATCCAAAATATATTATGCAATTCAACAGTGCTCAGAAATGTGTGTGAAAGAAGTCGGTTGTCTCACTAAAGTGTGGTTCCATGCCACAAAAGTCAGTACTATTGTAAATTAAATGTTTTTGATAGTCCCAGTGGAGATACCAAGGACTGATCAGGTGATGGTGAGTTATTTATGTCAATTAATCCTTTCACCCTTCAAGTCAAACCTGTAGAGTAATTGTAGCCAATACCAGCTGCCCCAGGGATTGACCTGATTCATGCATTAGGAAAGGAGGATAAAGGACCCTCTGAAGGAAGTGGGGTGGGTTGAGGAGGCAAAGTTGATGAGTCATCATGGGGAAAGATGAAGGAAAATAGGAGCTGTGAAAAATGTTGATTGACCAGTTTCTCTACTGTGAAATACTTACTGATTAGGAAAGCTTACTCAATGTTCACTTTATACAGTAATTTTTAAAACTTAGATGAATCTTCAGACCTGGAATTTAGATTGCACAGTGTCTTTGCTGAAAATAACCATTATATACCTACCTAGAAGGATATATTTCCATTGTGTATACAGTTCAGATTTGAACTGTATACACAATGGAAATATATCCTTCTAGGTAGGTATATAATGTTCTTCCTTTGACTTCCTGCTTTGCAGACAGTGCCAAAAGCCAAATTAAGCTATTTTTACTTCAGCTACGCAGTTGATGTAGCTGAAGTTGTGTAGCTTAATTTGACTTTTGCCCTGCTTTGTAGACGTGCCCTACGTGTCTAAGCCTCAATGCATATCAGTTGAAGCTGAGTTTGGCATGAATGCAAATCGAGATCTTTTGAAAACGAATAAGGAAGAAAAGTAAACTAAATATTCTACCCTTAAAGATAGCAGGGGACAAGAATTTACAATGGAGTAATTCTTCCCCTAACAATGTGTTGAATTGATTATAGACCATGTTATCTGAAGAATTCATCCCTGAAATTTAGGAGACTTAGACCTCAGATATCTTCACTTCAGTCTTCTTTGTATTTAAATAATTGGCACCTAACCTCATATATTGTTCTAGAATAACTTGAATAATTTTACTTATGGGGAGTTTTGAGTCCCCTGCCAGTACTTTGAAAAAAGCATTTATATAGTGTTTGAAATATATAAACGGAAAATTTAAGATTATAAATAGAGATAGAAATGTAGCCGTGTTAGTCTGGTGTAGCTGGAACAAAAAACAGGACTATGTAGCACTTTAAAGACTAACAAGATGGTTTATTAGGTGATGAGCTTTCATGGGCCAGACCCACTTCCTCAGATCAAATAGTGGAAGAAAATTGTCACAACCATATATACCAAAGACCACACTTCAAAGAGAATTCTCTGAACTGTCATTCATGCTTAAATTCGACACTTTACGCTTAGGGTTAAACAAAGACATTAATTATCTTACCCATTACAAAGATAGCTTCCCCAGTTATCACCTCTAATATCATTAGCTCACAGACATTTACCTCCCCCCCAACCCTCCTTCTGTTCTAAAATTTGATTGGTCCTTTTCACATGTGTTCATTTTTTTTAATTGTATCCCTTGGTATATATGGCTGTGACCATTTTCTTTCACTATTTGATCTGAGGAAGTGGGTCTGGCCCACGAAAGCTCATCACCTAATAAACCATCTTGTTAGTCTTTAAAGTGCTTCATAGTCCTGTTTTTTTGTTTAAGATTATAAAGACTCTTATTAGAGAGATATCACCAGGGATGAATTTAATCCATTTTGCGAATTTATTTTTGGCAATTGATTTGAACACTCATAACATTTTTGTGATTAAAAAGACCTTGCTAAATTCTGTGTTCAGTCTTTAATGCTTTGCTTTACTTAATACACCAAAGGAAAGCATTTCATAATTTGCTGCCTGGAAAATAATTAATGTAACTATAGTCATAGAGAGGTAGCCGTGTTGGTCTGATCTTGGTCAAACAAACAAAAAAGCAGTCAGGTAGCACTTTAATGACTAACAAAATAGTTTATTAGATGGTGAGCTTTAAAGTGCTACATGACTGCTTTTTTAAATGTTACCATGTTTTCCGAGTTGAAATCCTGTTTTCTCAGAAAAAACTTTAAAGTTAATGGTGACTAAAGGATATATTCTTGCAAAACTGCAAACTAACAAGCAAGGAAATTTCAAGAGGACATTGGTAGTCTCATGGATGCAACTCTCCAAGTGTTTGCTGTACTAAAGTTTTGATTCAAAACTACTGAAGTCAGTGGGAAGACTCTCATCAATTGGTTGAGTATATCACACTTCATTTTCAGTTCCATAAAAAACATCTTCAGTGCACAAGCCTTCATTTTGATTTTTTTCAATTTTACTTTTATAGATAGCTATCTTAAATCAGTGTTGGGCCCTAGTCCTAAAATAAAATGTGGTTGTTAGCTCCTTATACAGAATTCGTTTCAGGATGTGGGCCTAAGATGGGGAGGGATATTTCATCCTCCTCTCTGTACCCTGAATAATTAGGCTAATGTGCTTTTAGCTTTCGTGATTCTTCTGATCTCAGGTTTCATATCATTTATTTTATTTGTGTGAGTAGCATCTTAACAGATGCACAAAATTGTCCTTTTCATCCAGGTGCATATGATAACATCAAAAAAAATCTAACTACAACCAACAGCTAACCCGTCAACAAACCCCTAACAAAAAGTGTTATTCCCCATAAAATATTACCCATCTCCCTGAATGCTTTGCACTGTCCTTTTATAACAGAGACCTGGGTTGTTCTGGTTCAGAGTTGGGAATAAGTTCCATATTGAGCTCCTGAGATGGTTGCAAATGGTGGCAGTAAGGCTCTGAGGAGAGAGGTCCTGGAGACTGTCTCTTCTGTCCTTAGCAGCTAGGACCCAAGCCATTTAGGACTTTGTAGGTCAAAACTTTTAAAAAAAGATTTTATTATTATTACGTTCTCCCTACAAATCAGTAAGCATCCAGAATTGAACAGGGGTAGTTTGTCATGTGCTTCTGGTGAGAGAAACTGATTACCAACTGTGACACAACTTTCTGTTTTAGCTTGAAATTTAAAATGGTCCTGTTGTTGTATAATTTTTGGACTCTGTCATGGCACTGATTCTGTAGTTTTTCTATTCTGAAAAAAGTAAGCTGGTCTGAAATTTCAGCATTAGCTCACTTTTTAAAATGTTTCCTCTGCTGAAGTTAGAATCATTTTGAACAAATCTAGAAACAAATTACTCATGAGTTCATTAAATTTTGAGACTAAATACTTTGGTCTGAAAATGTTAAAGGGTAGAAATTTGGTCCTGTTTTCAGTGTAGTTTTACTATCCAGCAATTAGGAGCACCGCTGTCATTTGAGCCAGATGTAGTTGTTGCTGTGTACCTTGTTAAAATAGTCTGTGCTCTTAACCGCTTAAAAACACAGAGGTTAAATATGCTATATGTTAGGATGTGGGTTTTGTCCTACTTCTTATACACATAAAACTACTCTTCCAGCCTTTGGTAGTTCCAGCAAAAGAGAGACCTATCATACCAACTTGTGTTAATATTTGTAGGGGTTTACTGATATGTTTAGCAAGAACTAGAGAGAGATTAACTAATTTGCACTTACATTTGGGCTCAGTCAGGGTTTGATTGTGTGTCCTTAGAAAATAAGAAAAGTTAGTGCTCTAATCTAATTTACATTAAAACTGTCGTGTGTGTTTGTTTTTGATACCTAATTAAAAAGAACAGAGTTTTGGTGTCTCTCAGCTAAATCTCTGCTCTGATGGTTTATACCAGTGTAACTGAATAGAACTTAACTTTCACTATTATCTCCAGAAAGCTGATGCTGCTATCAGCAGATTAATTCCAGAACCCTATATGAGCAGTAGAAATTGAATTGTCATCTCCTCTAGCACAGGCTCACCATATTACTGCAGCTGTTAATATAATTTAGCACAATGTTCATGTTATGTGGCTAAGTTAAGTATTCTTGATTTAAGTCATGGTAACTTTTTGTAAAAATTCCATTATGTTGATAGTGTCTATTTTAAAATAATTTGTGTTTTCTCCCTGTCTTCTTTCATGCTAGGTTGTAATTGAGACTCTGTCAGTTGGTGCAACTATGCTACTGCCTCCATTACGAGAAAGAATGGAGTTGCTGCATTCTCTTCTACCACAGGGCCCTGATAGATGGGAGAGCTTATCAAAAGGGCAGGTAAGGCCTTGTAAAACTGTATGTCCGCCTTTGAAAGTCCAATGGCTACTTCTGATCTTATAATCTAGTTTGTGCTATATATGTTCACCTATATTAGATTATGCACCTTCAGCACTTTGAAGGTCAATTATTGTTGAGAGCAATCTGTTTTAACAAATGTGAATAATGTAAGCTAAACATCTTATGTTGCCAGTGCCCTAAGTCTTTTTTCAAAAATAAGGAAAAGTGCTCGAATTAGATCTTGTGGTTCTGCACTAATAATCAGAATACTCATGTAATGCTTATAGATGATAGATTTTACAGCACTTGCCAAAAGTGGATGGCTTGCCCAGTGTCATACAGCAAGTCAACTGTAGAATTAGGAATGCAATACAATTTTTAACCCTGCACTCTGTGTGCAGAACATGAACCTAGATCATTAGCTGTTCAGTATGTGGGGATGGCTATTCTTCCCCATAATGCTTATAACCCAAATCCCATTGGTCATGAATTTGTACATTCATTAGTGAAAGGCATGAGCATATTCTACAGTGGTATTCTGGAATGGAATGTACTTTAGGCCAGGTTTTCTGCATACCTTTCCTTTCTTGCTTCTGGGAAAAAATAGTCTCGGTGAGTCACTGCTGGGCAGCAGAGTTATATTTATTATTATTTATTTATATTACTGTAACGCCTTAGTCCTAGACCAAGACCTACTTGTGTTAGGCACTCTAGGGTATGTCTACACTACCACCCTAGTTCGAACTAGGGTGGTAGTGTAGACATACCCCTACAGACACAACACAAAGACCTTTCCCTGGTTTGGAATGAATGGGAATTGTGGGCCTTCAGTATTTGAGCTGAACCCAAAATAACATTGGGCAAATATTCAGATCCATTCATATAGAATAATCCTGTCCTTTAAACTTGCATACTATGGTGTATACACTGTACTAAAGTGATGTCAGTATTAGGAGTATGAATCCTAAATAAAAGGAAGATTGTTTCTCAAAATAGAGTATACTAGAGCCAGCACAAACTAGATTATAAGATCAGAACCAGCCATAATGACCATCTAGTCTGACCTCCTGCAGAGCTTTTGCAACTCTCTATAATTTAACTTATCTCTGTTAATTGATACTCATTACAAGGCATACTATGAAGCTGCTACATGGAGCATCTCCAAATAAGGGCATTAGGTTATATTTAAAGGATTTCATAAGTACACCCATGTTAGTGTACTTTTGTTAATACAGCTGTCATTTTTAGCTCAAATGAATTAAAATTCAAGTATGAAATTTATGAAAAGGTATATGGAAGTATGGTACATGTTAAGATATACAGTCGGAAGAGAGAATCTTAGCTAGATTTTAATATAGGCAGTTCAGTGGGCAGTTTTCTTTCAAAAGGCTGCACTGAATCAAGTGAATCATCTATAAGAAGTTGGATGTTATAGACAAGCTAAAAGGATGGTCATGCAGTCTGAATACCTAATTTATTAATGTATTAAGAATCATACAAAATTCTGTGCAATCCATTTCCATCATGCTGAAATGACACCAAGAATATTTAACAGCATAACTGTTGGCTATGCCCAGAAACTGTCTGCTACTGGGTAGGCAGTTTCCAAAAGTATAGTAGTATGGTCTATAGATTAAAAGATTATTACATTCCAAATTGCATGACATGAGCAATATACTATATACGCAATATACGATATACGTTGCAGTGAAAACTGATTAAAAACAAAATTCTTCTTTAGTCTCGCTTTTATAAAACTCTTGTCTACCGAGAAAGAAACCACAATACAAAGTTGGGAAAGGTTGGCCATAGGTTACTCAAAGTTGCTTTTTTCACCCTTTTCCGTGAAGTTGTGTGCTCTCATCTGTGGTTTGAATCATTCACGTGAACCTCTAAACCTTACAATTACTATAAGTGCTATAAATAATAAAAATTTACTGAACTTTTTCTACTAGAGCTTCATTTACAGTGTTGTTTTGCTATGTCATTATGAAGAATATTGGATTTGTTAGACATAGTTATTACATTTTTGAAGATTGATACATTAGAGACTAATTGGAGTTGGAAAGGATCTTTAGTCTGAACTTGGAATAGGCAACAGGGCCTCCTTATGTACCCCAAACCCCTGCCCCAGTTAAGACTCCATCCTGAACTCCCCTAACTCCTCATTTTGGCTCCATCTCTGAGCCTGCATGCCTAGCTGGAGCCCTTATTTCTTCTCACACCCCAACCCCAGTTTCATGAGCATTCATGGCCCTTCATACAATTTCTATACCGTGATGTTGCCCTCAGGTCAAAAAGTTTGCCCATCTTTGATCTAGTGCCTATCTTGGAAAATCTGTAGTGGATACTAGTCATTATACTTTAAACGTTAAAGCATCAGGACATTTTTCTAACTTTTTAAGTTCATTACTTTGTTGTCTAACTAGAACAATTTTTTCTATGTAACTATTTCCTTTAGAGAATGCAATTGGATATTATTCTGACAAGTTTACAAGATCATACCCATGTAGCCTCACTGCTTGGTTATAGTTCACCATCTGATGCAGCAGAAGTTTCTTCATTATGTGTTGGCTATGGAAACCTCTCTGATCAAACATACGGTGTCCAGAGTAGCCATCCAGATACTCATCTAGCTGAAATTTTAATGAAGACTTTGCTGAGAAATTTAGGATTTTACACGGTATGTTTAGAGTTTCTAAAATTTTTATAGTAGTAATGAAGTTTAAAAAAAAATCTTTTTAACTTGGGTAAAATAATGTTCCTCCTTTAACATTTGTTCAAGAGATCTGCGATAGGAATCTGCAACCAGCCTCATTCCCCCACCCCTGGTCTCCATAGCCCCAGCAGAACTAAAACTAATTTAATATCTCTAATAGTAAAGGTCCAATATTATTGTTGTCATGCTTTACTATTGTATTTGTCTTTTGTTTATATATGGATGCTTCCAGATGCAGGATGGTGCCCCAGGCAAATGAAAAGGGCTCATAAACACTTTCCTCAGGTTTGTGAGAGCCATTGGGTTTCTGCTGCACCCTTCCGTGCAGCCTTCCAGCCAAGAAGCTCCTGTCCCCAGGAGGTGGGAGAGAAGAGATGGGTAATCCTTGAAAGATTCATGGGGGTTCTTTCCCCTGTTCCATCAGACACTTTCTACCTTTGAGTATGTCTGCACTACAAACTTTAATAGCGTCTATATATACAAACCACTATTACGAATTTAATTCGAAATAGTGGAGCGCTTAATTCAAACTTGGTAAACCTCATGCTACGAGGAATAACGCCTAGTTCGAAATAGCACATTCGAAATAAGTGCTTTGTAGACACTTATTTCAAATTAGGGGACCTCTAGCCCTTCCCAGTTCCCCCTGGTGCTCACTCTGGGCCAAACCAGGAAAACTCCTTTCCTCTCCCGCAGCCTCGGGGCCCTTAAAGGGGTAGACTCTGGCCAGAAGGCACTTGCCAGAGCCAGGCCTGCTAGCAGTCTCTGCCCCTGACCCAGTGACCCCAGGATGAGCCAGGCAGCCAGTCCAGTGATAGCCAGCCATCCCCCTCCCAGTCCAACAGCACCCAGGGGCCAGTCAGGAGCTGTAGACGGCGCATGCCCTCCTGGACTAGTGCGGAGGTCATGGACCTCATTGAGGTTTGGGGGCAGGCCCCCAACGTCCATGATCTCCGCACTAGGCAGAGGAACGCGGCCGTCTACGGCCGCATAGCAGCCACCGTGGCCCGAAAAGGACACAGCACACCTAGGAGCAGGTGCGCTTGAAAGTCAGAGCTGCAGCAGGTGTATGCCAGGGCCACTAGGGGCGGCGCCGCAGCAGGGGGGCGCACCCAGGAGCAGTTGCGCCTGAAAGTGAAACAGTCTGCAGCAGGCGTATGCCAGGGCCACCGGGGCGGCGCCGCAGCAGGGGCTGACACCTGCCCCTACTTCCCCACCCTCAACCGACTCTTGGGGGGCAGGGCGGTCCACGCCAGCCCGGGAGGCAGCGAGCTGGGACCGGAGGGCCCTGACCCGGGTGCACTGGAGAGGCCACAGCAAGCAGTTCCAGCACCGGAGTCGGCAGGGTCGTCCAGGGAGACCATACTGGGTAAGTGCCAGCACTGTCCCCTACCCGGGGGGGAGGCAGGGAGGGAGACCAGGGACCGCGTGCATGGGCCATGCCTCCCACGGATCACGCAGCCACCTGTGCACATGCCATGCCACCCTTGGGCAGGTGCCAATAGGCACATGCATGTGTGAGGGAGACCTGACACACTCTCGACCCTGGGGCGGGACCCAGCAGGATGCTCTCCCTTCACATGCCCCCTCTACACAGAGGCAGGGGACATCCCCCCCATACCGTATATGCACCACAGGGGCATGGGTGTGGTCTCAAGGCAGCTCCCACTCCTGGGGATAGCAGGACATTCTGAACATGGCCTCTGTGCAAGCACATCGACTCTGATGGTGCAGGGAACGGTCATCCTCACCTTCAGGGGCAGGCCTGGGCATCATCCACTGTGTCCCCAGGGAGAACTGATCACTTCTCCTCGTCTTTCTCTACAGCTGCACCAGCTTCTCGTGAAGGGCGCAGCATCCTGCCCGGGACATGCTCCCGCACCCGTGGCCTGCTCCGAACCACCACCATGCGGCAGGAGTACTGGGATCAGCACCTGCAAGCCCTGCACTGCACCGTCCAGGCCTGGATGCTGGAGGACCTGCAGCTCTGCCGGGAGCAGCATGCAGAGAGCCGAGCGAGGAGCTGTCACCTGCATACCCTGCTGCAGAGCATGGTGCCCTGTGCCAGTCCTGCGCCTGTTGCCCCCCCCAACTACTGTCCTCCCCCTCAATGTCCACACCCTCCTCCCCATCCCCCCAGGGACTCCGAGGCCTCCTCCCTCGCCGTGCTGGGAGGCGGTTGGCCCGGCGAGACCCCCACCCCTGATCCCTGAGTTTCCCCTACCCCTCCTTCCCCTTGCTTCCCCCGTCCAGCTCCTTCCTTCCAGTTTTCCGCCTTCCCTCTCCCACCCTATCTCCTGCCCTCTCCTGCTTCCTTTCACCAGTCTCCCCACAGTTTCATTCCCCCTCCCCAGTTGTGTTCAATAAAGAGAGTTGTTATTTTTGAAAATACGTGTATTTTATTTGACATCAGGAAGGGGGGGGGAGGCCAGGGAAGGGTAAGTGGAAGGACGAGAGGGGGGAATGGGGCACAAGCTCCTAGGGATGGAAGCTCTCCTGCAGGGCCCCCTGGATCCTGACAACCCCTCAATGGTTCTCCCGGATGGCAGCCTGCAGACAATGCAGCCGGGCTGCTGGCAACGTGTCCACGAGACGCAGCAGTGTCCTCGGGGGCAGGTCTGGTTCCATGTGGCAGAGTGCCATGGTGCCCCGAGTGAGGGCAACCAGAGCACTGTGAGACACAAATACTTTGCTGTTCCTCAGCGAGGTAGACCAGCAAGCAGGGAAACCTGAGAACTGTCTGTCCGAGATGGGGGGGTCGGATCCCTTTAAGCACAGACCTCGGCTAGCCTGAGGCAGCAGCCCCACACACTAAGTCCGACCCTGATGCCCTGCTGGCATTGCTTCCGGCCAGCCTTACCTGTGATTCAGGGTCCACTCAATGTGGACGTTCTACTTCGAATTAGAAAAATGCTATTTCGAATTAGTTTGTGTCTAGATGAGTTATTTCGAATTAGCTTAATTCCAATTAACTAATTTGAATTAAGTTAATTCAAAATAACACTGTAGTGTAGACATACCCAAAAATATTAGCAGCAGTGCTAATTAATGGCCTGCTTTTGCTCCTATTGACGTCAATAAATACCTTCCATTGACTTCATACTTAATAGGATCAGGCCCAACATGCAGTTGCCCATGTGGACACTGGTACCACATGCACAATTAATGCACAGAATACTCAAGCTATAGATTTACACCCTTGCTTACTGTGCACTATCTAGACAAGCCCAGAGTACAAGCAGTCCCCAGATTACATGGATCCGACTTACATCGGATCCCTACTTACAAACGGGGTGAGGCAACCCCGCACTAGCTGCTTCCCCCCAGCAGACCAGGGAGACGCGAAGCTAGCGCCCTCCCCCCACTGACCAGGGAGACGCGGAGCGGCTTTTCTCAGCAGACACCTCAGCTTGAGAATAAAGGACTGAGGGAAGTGA